TGTATGAGCGCGTATGTGTACGTGTGAGTGCGAATACGTGTATCCGTATATATCCGCCTGTATAAATTTTTGTATGTCTCTTTCACATGCAGCCTCCGTGTCTTTCTCTCTTCTTTTGCGCGCGCAATCGTACTGTCATCAGATCATCATCTTTCGCGTGTGCCTTGCACCTCCACTTGTCCGATCGTTTACGTTCCCTTTTCCCCCCCGAAGTGGAAATTCGCGAAAATCGTCGATTTTTCCACTTTCTCGAGAGGAGACTCAAGACATTGCTCGAATATGCTTAGCGATCAGAGCCGGGTCAGGAGTCATGCTCATTTCCTTAAAAGGCTTACGAACAACGAAACAGGCGTAAGTTTTTATTTAAAGAGTATCTAACTAACGTACAGATCCGTGATTTTTTCCCCCTCCGTTTAACTGCAAAATAATACTGAAGTCTGCACATGGTGCCTATCACATATGTCTATTACGTAGTCTTTTCTTTTCCCCCTTTTCACAATCGCTCCAATATTCACGCGTACGATTAGCCGCACACACTTTTTTCCTGTGTTTTTTTTTTTCGCTTTTCTCTTTTTAAATTATTACATACAATTACAACTCGCGATCCAGAGAGAAACTCGTCTTTCGTCTCTGTTTCACTATTTCGATTTACTTTCGCACGCATTCCCTATTCTCACTAGCATTTCATTAGCTTACTCGCTCTTGTTTTCGACAAACAGAGTGGATAAAAAATTGTTAAAACCAATCTCGACGCGATCATACCGTTCCGAACGCCTCCATGTTTCATCAACGTAAAATATAAGCTGCAATGAAAACGCTTACATTTACAATATTTAATGAAAATGTATGTTAAATGAATTATTTAAAACGATGTGATGTCTACATTAGGAAATTTCAAGATCAATAAAATTTGAAAATAACTGAACATTTATGATAACTAATAACACACGTCGTTAAAGATTTCTTTCAGTTTTCAACTAATGTGTCAAGATGTTTTATGTGCAATGTAAATGTACAAAATGAAAGCATGTTCAGTTGATATCACCGTATCGTCTTATTAACGATGATATAAAATTGACCAGTTTTCACAGTAATAGTAATACTAAAAAAACAAATTCACAGTACATCACATTACATTACATGAAATTACACTACATCATAAAGAAATTAAAAACTGAAAGAACTATTGCGAACGAAATTTGTTCAGGGAAAAAAAAACAAAAATTATTATACACAAATGTAATATCTGAAATCTTTAAGTTCAATTATGTCAACGAGTCTCACGAAATAATGATTTTCATGGCAGAATATTAAGAAAAAGATCCTTACATTAATAATTAATAATTAATAAGAAAAAGAATCATATCATATCATATATCAAGAAAAACAATGCTTTCTTGAATTTAATATTTTCAGGTTAATATCTCAGTTCGATCGACATTATCCATGAAAACAACAAATTACATAATGGAAATCCAAAATTTACTAAAACACAGGGATTTATTTATGGGGATTATTAAAAATTTAGCGTAAGTTGGGATTATTGGAAGCTTGTAACAAGATAACGATGCCGAACATACAATTTGAATAGATTATATAAACTACATACCACTGCTAGACATGAATCCAATTGAAAATTTATCATATGAATTTAAATAATTTCAAATGGAATTTGATTGACTGTACTTTTATCAAATCATTGATTCGTCATATGGGATAGTAAACTTATAGCTAAAACTTATAACTAGGGATGATCCAATAAAATATTAATATGTTATACATATAATGATATAATATAATATAATAATAATAATGTTATAAATATAATAGTTTTTAAATATTTCCCACCACCATAGACACCACATTATTTTAAACATGCATTATCTAACATGCAAATTAATTATTACAAATAAAATGTAAATATTTTCAAACAGGATAATTTACTATTATTAATAATTTAAAAGAAAGACTTAAAAAAACTCTGAAAATCAACTCAATGAGACATGCATAAAATTAAAAATTGTGCACCAGTTAGTTTCCAGAAAGTCATTATCAGTTATCAATTGTTAATTAGTTATCAATTATTTTTTTTTTTTTATTAAAAAGAAGCTAAAAAAAAGTTATTTGTATAAAATATATAGGAGACTGAACGTACGGTATAATCTGTTGAAGCAGTTATAAACTCTTTTGAAACACCCTGTATATTATATATATATATTATATATATATATAATATTAATAATCAATAATAATATCAGTTTGTATTGTACAGGCTATTTTGGGGCTGAAAGCCTGTGGTCTCTCTAATATTTTTCACTTAACCCCCTTGTTGAACCTTATACGCTTTCTCCCATCATTACACTCTACTTAAGTTATTCTTTAATAATATATTATAATCTCGGTTTCGCTAGGTGTAGCAAGGTGTGACGTAACGGAGTTAACCATCTTTTTTTCCTGCCATTTCCTCACGACTCTTTGTGTTTTTTTTTTTTTTTTTTTTTTTTTTCATTTTCTTAAGATTCATTAACGAAATAATCATCGTAAATGTATTATAGCTTTACGTTAACTTTTTTTTTTTTTTTTCTTCATTACCATTACTTTTACAGTTTAATATGTTCTTTTTCTCTTTATCTATCGTAGATTTGTCTGTGGCTATCCCTGATGTGTTAGTTACCCTGCGCTTCCGTCTGGTTGTCGAAATATTGTTGCGAAATTGTGGTCTACGATTAAAATTTCATCATTTGTTCCGTGTTTTTAAATACGAATTTTGTTTCTCTTTGTATTTCTTGTTATTATTTTGCTTTTTTCCTTTTTCCCCTCCGTTTGCTTGTATGTATGTTCTCATTTCTTTCTTCTCCTTTCGCTTTGTTTGTTCCTTCTCTTGTTTCGTCGAACAAGGTTCGCGTTTTCGGGGAGCTCACCAAGATTTACCGATCGAACGAACGAACGGGAAAGACAGGAAAAGTTTCGCCCTTTCCCCCGATTAATTCGCCAAGTTTCTTAGCGACTCAACTAATCGATCGTTCGCATATATAATACAATACGCTTCGTTTTGCTAATCATCGATGTAGAAAAGCTTCGCGTTGAACGTGAAATAAAAGAAACGAAACGAATGTCAGCGAACACAAAGCGTTATCGAGCAAACTTATTACATATTTACGGATCAACATATATATATATATAT